CGCCAACTGCACTGCCTTGTCTTTAATGTTCTGACCCAGAGATGAGTGGACAGAAACAGAAACACCCGTGTTACCGACACCAGGTAAATGGCCGGGCCCTTTGCAGAGGGTTTTGTTGTAGACGCAGGGATGCTAGAAGTCACACGTGCAGTGTTGGTCCGCTATTCCAGCTGCCTCCCCATCTAGCTCTGGGCCTGCCTCCACCTTTCTCCTGCCATCCGGGTAGCTATACCTTAAAGCAAGACAGCCTGCATGGAACCTTGACTCAGGACTAGAGGGAATGTTCGTTGGACAAAGACTGATAAGTCAACAAGGGGAGAGGAAGTTGGAGGCTGGCCCGAGCCCTACCTGGGGTGCTGCTAAGGCAGGGGAGAGGGTCCAGGGCTAGGGAGAGACCTAGTATCAGGTATCCTGGTTGGTGCTCAGGGAGGAATGCTTTGAGTGTATGACTGGGTGGTCTTTCTCACGGAGTGGTCTGGCCCGGCTCCCGAAAAACTCATCGCGAATTCCTTAACAGAAGGAGCTGCCAACTTGAATAAGTAAACCCAGCTTTGGAGGCCTGTGGGAGCCATCGCGTTTTCCCTTGGCAAGTGGAAAATAAGAATGCTGTCCCTGGGGAGGAGGGGGTGGGGTGGATTTGAGTCTCAGTAGGTGGGTTTGAAGGCCTAGGAGGAAGCTGGGATCAAACAGCTTTGGCGCCGATGGGCCTTCCCTTGAATGTGGCCTGAGGCGAAGAAAGATTAGAATAGGAATAAGTGTGGAGCCACCCAAGGTGATGGCTGTGGGAGCCCCCATTCCTGCTTCTTCATCATGACCGGACAGGAGAGGAGGAGGGTCTCCCGACATCAGTGGGCTCCCTGGAAATGCCATTTATCTGGTTGCTGTCCCCTTTTCTCTCTATGGGTCCCACTGCATCTGAATTCTAACCACGCTTCTTATTTTCAGCGGTTCCGACGGGAGAGACTACGCAGGAGAAGGGGTGCTCTGGGGAATCTGCGTCGACTAGACGGAGACTGTACTGAGCGCCCACCAAGTGCCAGCCCAACACGTCACCTGTCAGGGAGCTGTCATCAGCCGAAATGCTCACAGTAACCCCGGGACGGAGACACTTCACGAACCGGCCCGGGGTCACAGAATTAGTAAATAGCGGTGTTGGGAGCGGGCCATTGCTTGGTCCTCTCCACCGTGTTCCTTTCGGATGACCGAATGTCCCCTGGGCACTCACCTCGGGCTCGGCGCTGGACAAGAGGGGTGTGTGCGCCCAGGTGCACAGACACGCATGGGGCTTCTCATTCTTTCTCTCTCCTCTGCTGAGCTTGGTGACAGAGGGTTGGAGGCCTGGGGTTTCCCTGCTATATTTGCAGCCACAGATTATCTTTCCAAAGTGAAAGAATCTGATGGCGCTTGCGTCTGGCGGGTGAGAATTCCTCTGCTTGTGCCTCCATTCATGCCCAAGCGTGCAGCCGTGTGTTGTGCACATCCCTGGGTGACTGCGTGTGTGTGCGTTTTGGAAGCTGTAAGGGTCCCTCCGTGGACTACTTTGGGTGACATGTAAAGAGAAGTCCCTCCTCTCACCCAACACCCCGGAAAAGGAAGCAGCTGGCCCCGGCAGGCCTTCCAAAGGCTGGGTAATGCCCGGCCTAGGGATTCAACCACCAAGAAAGTCAAAAAGGTTACCGACCAGCTTTTCTCCAGGGTCTGAAGCAAGCCAGAAGCGCAGTGGCGATGACCAGCACACCAAGCAGGCTCGCGGACAGCCCGGCAACCAGCCAGTGGGGGCTGCTGGGGGCAGACAAGCCCCAGGTAGGGGTGACCATGAGTGCTGAGGATGAAATTCAGAATTGTACCTCAGATGGACAGAAAGAGGCAGAATGGCTGGCATCAGGGGGGATGGCGTGGCCTGGGGAGCTTTGCAGATGGAATCAGAGATGGCTCCGAGGACGCCAACAAGGACAGGCAGCCGTCTCACCCGCCCCCCACCAAGGATTTCCTGTTTTCCCTCCAGGTCCAGTGGACGGATACTCTGAGCAGCGTCCAGGCTCCGTCATGCAGTGCCTGCTATGGGTCCAGCTTCGTGCAGGGTGTGGGTGGGGGGCACACGGAGGGGTGGGACCTGCCCCCTGCCAGCTTGCTGGGGCTCAGAGCCCAGCTGGGGGACAAGACGTACCATCCAGGGAGAGTATCTTGGGCTCACTGGTCTCTCCGGAAACATAATTCTCTGCCCGGCAGGAGTATCTGGCATCCTGCTCTGACGTCACGGTGACCGGGAAGCAGGTGGCTCTTCCGTAGGGAGAGGAGATGTTCCCTAGGATCTTCCCGTCCAGGTAGAACAAGTACGAGATCGGAGGGGAGCCCTTCTGGGCCTCACAGAGGAGCTCCACCATGGCCCCCACAGCGAGGCCGGTGGGGCCAGGTCTCAGGGTGAGTAGAGGCTGGGACACAGGAACTGGGGCAGCACAGAGTGGGGAGGCTCAGCTGTGCCACCCAGGCTCCTGGCCCCTCCTCCCCTGGGGATCCCTCCCCATAGGCCCACGGGTCCCGATGCCCAAAGCCCAGACCCCTGGGGAGTGTCTCCCCTCCCTCCCCACTCACCCTGCACCCTGACCTCCAGCTGGGGGCTCTGCTTCTGGGCCACACCACCCTCAAGGGTGGCCCGGCACCAGTAAAGCCCAGAGTCTCTCTCCTGGGCTTCTGGGAGGTAGAACTCCGGGTGGGGGCCCCAGTCCCGCAAGGTGCTGGCATCTCTGTGGAAGGAGAAGAGGAGACTCGAGGCCGACTTCTGGGGGTGCAGCTTCGTCTGGCATCTCAGGGTCAGCGGGCTCCCCTCACGGAGCTCGGGAGAGGGGACAGCGCTCAGCACAGGAGGCGGGAACGGCTCTGGGGAGACGTGGGCCCAGGCTCAGGGAGGGCCTCCAGAACCCTGAGTCCCCAGAGGCCGGGGTCCAAGCCAGAGCGCATCCCAGGTCACAGCCCCACGCCCCACGGGAGACCCTGTCATTGTGTCCCGGGACCCGCCTCCCAGCTACGACCCACACCGCCAGAGCCTCTCTGGAGTCCTGAGCCAAAGCCAGAGGGCCGTAGGGGTCAGCTGGTCCCCAGAGGGGAAGGGTCTGGCCCAGGCTGGTTCAGGGCACTTCCTTCCCCTGGCTCTAGACGGGGGCCCTGTGGTCGCCCGGCATCAGGGGCAGCCAGAGGGACAGCTGCTGACCTCTAGAGACCAGATCCCTGAGCAGCATCCCAGCCCCACCCCCGACCCCCCTGAGCTGGTGACTCACCTTGGACTTGAACCTTGACCAGCTCTGAGGTTTGTCTGCCCAGGTATGGGACATAGGCCACCTTCCCAGAGCAGCTGTACTGGCCGCTGCTTTCCAGGGTAGCCGTCCCCATGGACAGGGACCATCTGGTCTTCGGGGTTTGGAGTAATCTTCCGTCTTTGTAGAACTTCACCTGGGACAGGGCCTTGTTCGTCCATCCATAACATTGCAGAGTCAGGGCATCTCCCTCGAACACGGGGTCTGGCCAGGCTCGGAGGTGAGCTGGCTAGAGACATGGGAATAGGGTGGCTCTGAGCCACACTGTAGGCTTATTTCTCCTCTGTCCCTCTCCCCACTAAGCTCTGCCTCTAGGTTCTCCCTAGATTAGGTTGTTGGATAATTTGTTGAGCTCCACTCTAGGCTTTCCTGCTAGGAGGCCTAAGGGGTTTCTGATTTCCTCCTCCCTCCTCCTCCTTCTTCTCTGCTGTTTTTTCTTTACTTCCTCTAATTCTCCTTCCTTTGCTCTTTTTCTTTTGGTTTATCCTGTGTATTTCTCCTTTTACTTCGCCCTTTCGACGTTGCCAAGCTTGGGTCCAGTTGAATTCCTTCCATCCATTGTCCTAACTCCTTCCTTCTCACCCAATCCTCACCTCCCTAGACTGGTTACTTGCCCCCTGGCTCCCCCAGTCAAGCCTTTCTGCAGCGTCCACCTCTGAGAACAGCTGGCCCCGGACCGCCAGCCAGAAGCCAGATGGATGGATGTAGGAAGTGCCTGCCAGGGCTCGTCTTTCCTGCCTTCCTTCTCAGGCCCCTGGCCTCTACCTCCTCCCCCAGCAGGGAGTTTCATTTCCACCACTGTCGTGGGGAGGGATCTGTCCTGTCTGTCCTCATTCCTAAAACGCGTTCTATGGCCTGATGTGGACAAGAGAAGAGCTCCCGGGGACCCCAGCCTGGGTCTGTCTCTAGGCCATACTTCTTTGACAAGTCAGACACCATTGGTCCCAGAGAGTCTCAGGAGCCAGGCCTGATAAACTGAGAACAATAATGAAGAATCAGATAGGGACTCCCGGTATATCCTGCCTTTGCCTCAGTCCTCAGGACCCGCCCCTGGAGCCTCACGGGGTGACTGAATGACGAGCCTTGCTTTTACTCCTGTTCTGTCGAGCAGCACTGAGCATGGCTTCGAGTTCTGCCCAGCAGCCCCCATTGCCTCCGGAACCATAGAACATGTCCTTGGAGGTGAAGATGTTCATAGGTCAGGCTTCTTCCTACTTGATAGAAAGCTCCGTGAAGGTCAGGATGGACTAGAAGGCAGAAGGAGCTGAGGGTCAAAGCTGCCTTCTCTGAACATACGAGGGATGGAAGGGAGTCCAGGGCCTTGCTGAGTGGAGAATACAGGAGCTCCAGAGCCACCCTGAGAGGGACAGAGGCCAGTGCCACTTACAAGGGAATAGGATGAGCCCCAGAGCCACTCGTTGGGGCTTGAGCCACCTAGAATTATCCTCAGCCTGAGAACAGTGGAGTCCCAGGTCTCATCTCTGCCCGGGTATCAGCCAAGGCTCCTGAGGAATGGGCCTAGTATGCTGTTGTGAAGACGCCTCCGGGGGACCCGGTGGCCCATCAACTAAGTTTTGGTCCAGAGACACACTTGGAGATGGAAGGGACATACACAAGACTCACCACTTTGCCCAACACAGGGAACTGTAAGAGAACAGAGTGATAGAATTAGGGTAAATAATAGAACCTTTTCACAAAGAGGCCTGTCCCCTCAGGCACGGGTGCTCATGTCCATTCAATAAACCAACCACCCAGCCCCCTAAGCACCTACTCATCCAACTACCCAGCCACTCAACCACTCAGCTACCTAGCCATTCAACCACCCACCCAGCCACTCAGTCCCTCAGTCCCTCAACCATTCAGCCATCCAAGCACCAAACCACTTAGCTTTTACGTTGGACCCAGCGCCTGGAATCCTCTGCTCCCTGTCTCATTCAAATGTTGCTTCCTTAGGTGGTTCTGGGGCCCCCCATTGAAGGACTTCTCCTCAACCCCTATTATAACACCCCACTGTACTATCATCAGAGAACTTATCTCTATTTGAAATTATCTTATTCTTTAAATTGCCTACTTGTTATCAGCTGCCTCACTCTCTGCCCCACGAGGGTGGAGACTTGTTCATGGTCTTGTCACTTATGTCTCAGACCCGTGCCCGGAAGGGTCAGTGTTCAACAAGCATCTACTGAATAAATGCTTTCCTCTGTGCCCAGCCATGTGGGGCAGGGCACGCGACGTGGGAGACACAAAAATGGACTCTTGCACTAGTGGGTCTGAACGCCTACCTGCACCCGCAGAAGAACTCAGAGAGCAGACCTGGCGTTTCCTGTGGCCAGATCTGTCTACGCGGCTCTGGAGAGTAGAGCCTGGAAGTGATGGCTGAGGGAGGTGAGGAATCCCTGGATGGGCGGGTCAGATGGGACGGGTGAGGGGATAACACACAGGCCAGTGCATCACACACTATGCTTGGACCTTTATATGTGGTATGAATGCTTTTATTTATTTATTTATTTTTTTAAAATGTTTATTTATTTTTGAGACAGAGAGAGACAGAGCATGAACGGGGGAGGAGCAGAGAGAGAGAGGGAGACACAGAATCTGAAGCAGGCTCCAGGCTCCGAGCTGCCAGCACAGAGCCCGACGTGGGGCTCGAACTCACGGACCACGAGATCGTGACCTGAGCCGAAGTCGGACGCTCCACTGACTGAGCCACCCAAGCGCCCCATGGTATGAATGCTTTTAAATGAATGAATATTTGAGGAGCATAGGTGGCCTGGGAAGAGAGGCCAAACCACAAAGTGATGACAGATGAGGTTAGACAGGTATGAAAGGCATAGGGGATGGCATAGGTGGGGGGGGAGGCACAGTTGGGCATGACGTGGTGGAGAGTATTCTAGACTGCGTGACAAGGGGTGAAGCAGTCAGTAGCATTGGGCGAGCGTGGTCGGGCCAACCGTCCTCAGGCAGTTACTGTGTCCTTCACACTGACATGTCCTAGGTGCTGTGTAGACATGGAGGAATGTGGGAATGGCCTTGGGAGGGCCATTGAAGACCCTCTCACCAGGGACTTGAGATGTGGCTGTTTGTGTGTTGAATCACTCGCTGTCACCCTTGCTGTCCACGTGGCCTGGGACCCAGACAGAGGCTTTTAGCCTCAGTTCTCTGCTCAGCTCGGGATTAGCTCAGCCACAGGCTCAGTGTGTGCAGAATTATGAGTCTTTCTTGTCAACCCTCTATCTCCCACTGGGTCCATCTAAACATATCTCTTGGAAACTTTTTAAGTTTATTTATTTGAGATGGACGGACATAGGACGAGCTGGGAAGGGGCTGAGAGAAGAGGAGAGAGAATCTCAAGCAGGCTCCACGCTGCCAGCGCAGAGCCCGACGCGGGGCTCAAACCCATGGAACCGTGAGACCATGACCAGAGCCGAAACCAAGAGTCGTGACGCTTAACCGACTGAGCCCCCCGGGGGGCCCCTAAGCACATCTCCTCCCTGGGCTTAGTGCAGTGGGAAACACGCAGGGCTCGGAGTCACGTGGCCTGAACTGGACTCGTGAATCCACCTCTTTCTATGTGAACTTGGACAGCTCGTTGAAATTCCAATAGCCTTGAATTCCCGGTCCCGTCTACACAGTGGGAGCCGTCACAGCCATTTCTTCCCTGCAGACTGTCTGCGTAGATTACCGTGACCCACCACCTGGAAAAGTGGTTACCGCGTTGACTGAAAGCAGAAAGGAGGCCTGACCTCAGAGTGACTAATACCTCGCAGTATAGTGATGTCCCTCTTCCTTTTCCCTCCTCACCCACAAAACACCTCTGCAGCTTCAAAGTGATGAGTAAACAGGAGTGAGGGCACTGAAGCCCTACAACCAGAGAGGGGGCATCCAGAGAGCAGAGAGACACTTCAGATGAGCTTGTGTCCCCAGACCCCATGAGACCGGGGAGCTGTGCCCGCAAAGCCGGTGCCTGTAACAGAGGCAGTGGGCAGCAGGGCGCGCAGAGGGGCAGCAGCCACGTTACAGCACTTCCTACAAAGAGGGCCATGGGCTGAAGATGAGGCGACAACACAGCCAAGGGCCGCTGTTGAATAAGCTGCACAACAGAGTCCTGGGCAATGGAGGCCGCAGCCCCGCTGACCTTGGCACTACTCAGGCCATGGTGGGGGGCGGGGAGGGGAAGGCACAGGGCTTGGTCCACTGACAAAGGGCATCGAGCCCAAGGAGACCAGGCTGATGAGCAGGGCCAAGAAACCATTCCCCACTCGAGGAAGCAGGGACATAGTAGTCTCCAAATATTTGATGGGCTAAGTGTAAAAGAGGGAAGAGACTTTCAGGTAGAAGTGAGACTAATTCAGAGGAAATGAGAGAGACCAAGGAAGCAGATTTCAGCAAAGCGTGAGGGACTTTGTCACAGTCGAGCTCTAGGACATTGGAACCCGCTGCTTCGCCAAGCTATGGCTTCCGTGGTGCTAGGGGTGGCCGTGACGTGGAAGCCCAGAGACACCTGTCATGGACGGTGTGTGTGTCTACGGGTGGTGGGTTCCAGTCCTGGGGCTGAACCTGGCTGATGCTCAGCTCAGAAGGAAATTAAGTCTCATCTCCTAAACTTCAAATCACCTTTAACGTACGGCCGTGTCCCATTACGTTCAGGACCAGGGGCCCCTCGCCTGTCGAGTCCCTGATGGCCAGTAAGAGTAACGGGCACCATCTATTGTGTGAACACGCCCCATCAGGCACTTTAAATGAATTTTATTTTCCAGTCTTACGTGATTAGAACCCAACCAGAGTCCTGCCCGAGGCATCCGGGTGGGATGCAGGAAGCATGAGTCTGGCAACAAGTGGAGTTGGAGTTGTATTTCTGTTTTGCTCTTGTTGCCAGAGCAATTCTACACAAGTTTCTTAACCTTTTTGAACCTCAGTTTCCTCAATTGCTTAATAGGGACAAAAAATACCCACCCAATAAGATTTGAAAGGTTAGATGAGATAATGTGTGCACTACTGAGCAGGGTGTTTTCTCTGTCTCTCTGCCCACATCTAAGAGGAAATAGCAGCTGTGCACTTATGGTAACTCTGTTCCTCCACATCTAGCCGTGGGGTCTCCATTTTAGGCTGGTCTTCTGGGGTCCCCAAGCATCACGCATGACCCTGTCGAATCTGGGTCCTCTACCACTCTGTCCCCTAGTCAGTCAGCTTTTGACTCTCTCCTCTCTTGCTTTGGTCTTCCCCATCCAGATACTGGGTTCCAAACGCTTGGACTTTATCCAGTCAAGTCCAAGGGCTGTTCCTTTTACAAGGTGGTGGTTTGCCCATGATGACCTTTCTTCTGGAATATATACAGGCACTAGGCCATCCTGACCTTGTCCAGTATGACCATTAGACCTTTTCCCTTGTTCAAATGGCCATTTGTAAGCACACAGGGTAACAATGAGGTGGGAGAAGGGAGAGCATTGGGCGGAACAAGTGTTTCTTTACAGGGTCAAATGCCCGCAAATCCTGTCCAGGAAGAGATCACGTTTAGGAATGGTTTGCTTTTCTGGTTCAATGAAAACAAACAAACAAACAAACGAACGAACAAACACACACAAACTATTGGGAACAAGTTTAAAATAAAAAGTAAGTCAACTCAGAAATTGTAATGTAAAACATACGCCCAGAATTGTTCCTTCTAAGTGTGGCAGGGTGATAGTGGCTGAGACTGAGTTGAGTCGGGGAGGCCCAGTGGCCCTCTCCCCACTCTCATAATCCTCTGCCCTTGGAGGACCAGTCCCTTCAGTCTCTGGTGAGGGTGACGGGTGGCCCCTGGGGAGGTGGCTCAAAGAGAGAGAGATAGATCAGAGAGAATGGGTTTGATTCTTCGAACCATCCCCAAGGACCAGTCAGACCTGAAACAGACCTCCCCACCACAATCCCCAATAGAGAGAGGCAGGAGGAGGATGGCCAGTTTGTAAAGGGCTTGAACACTCCGGGCAAAGCCTCTTAATCAGGTGAGCAGCCTGGACATTGTAGAGTGGTTCTAAAAAAATGCGGAGGTTTCATAAAAATTTATCTTTGATTTCTTCCAAAGTTTATTGATGTATTTTGAGAGAGGGAGAGAGAGAGAGAGCTCAAGTGGGGAGGGGGCAGAGAGAAGGAGAGAGAGAAGCCCAAGCAGGCGCCACACTGTGGGCTCAGAGCCCACATGGGGCTCGAGCTCACGAACCATGAGATCATGTCCTGAGCTGAAATCTAGAGTCAGATGCTTAGCCGACTGAGCTACCCAGGTGCCCCCCAAAATACTTTTTGTGAAAGCCCACCTTCTGCTGCTGAGCAAAATGCACAGAATTGCGTTCTCCCATTTTCCTGGTCCTCCAGCCCACCCCTGCCCAAAGCCATAACTTCATTTTCCTTTTGAGGCAGCCCGATGAGTAACTTAACCTTATTTCATGGGGTAAACATGTGGGTGGGCCTCAGAAGGTGATTTTTCTGCCTCCTTAGTTTAGCTCTGATACACTGAAGGCCTGCCCTACCAGGGACCCAGGGAAATGCAATGGGAAACATCAGGGAAGCCCCCCACCACACCCCATGTGCACACACTCATTTCAAGCTCCAGCCATAAAACCCACTAGAACCTGGAAAGGGGAAATTAGGATTCCCATAAATAACTTACAGTCTTTGGTGCCCAGGAAGTAAAGCCCATGCTCGGTGACTTAC